TTTCTGGTTGACTTTATCTACCCTCCATGACCACTTTTGGGAACATATAAATAATCCTCGAGTTCAAGATTTTGAGTTAGATTTAACTAAATTCACCACTGGGTTTTGATTTCAAATGAAACAAGATCTAATGTTTGAATAACTAGAGAAACAAATGTGTCGTAAAAGTCAAGTTTTAAGGAACAACTTGAGCTTATTATGTTCATGAATCATGTGGAATGAACTAGAGGATTCTCTATCATGAAAATTTTATTTCTCAAAAAATTTCCTTTATTTTTTATTCTTTAAATTATCTTTAGGAAATAAAGATGAAATAAGAGATTCTAGGGGATAGGAAGTGTATGGGATGCGTGCATGCTTTTTTCACTCTCATAAATATACTCTTGTTGCCTCATAATAATTAAAAGGCAATAGCCAACCTCAAGGCCTTTAGATTCAAGTTTCAACCTAAAGGTTACCTGACAAGATCCTTCTAGGTGGGGACTCATTAGAGGTGCTATTTTGTTCATAATTCAAACAAGGGCCTTTCGTGTTTCTTTTTCATTTTTTAGAATGAATTCCAACAAGATTTTGAAAGTATTGAAAATGAGGAAATTAAAATTGTGCCATAAACGTTTGAAATCTTGAAGTGTATTTGATTTTACATTTTCTTTTTCAATTATGGTAATTTTTTTTCTATTTTATCTCCAAAAAAGTTTAATTATTTAAATATGGTTCTAGTCCTTGAATTTTTCCCCATTTTATTTTTTTAATCTGTGAACTTTTAAAATTTTTATTTTAGTCCCTAAACTTTTAAACATTTCATGTTTTTGCCTTTTTAATTTTTAAAATTTCATTATAATCTTCTAACGTTCGTTAAACTCATACAGTCGCTATGGTTATGACATATGGATAATAAATGACGTTTCGTCATATTTCCAGTAACTTAGAATAAAATTTTGGATTAAAATTGAGATTTTAGAAGTTAAAAGTACCACAGTAGGAGGTGGATAAAAATAAGGGACCAAAATAGAAGTTCTTAAAGTTTAAAGGACTAAAATGAACCACTAGGGGTTAGTCTAATAGTCATTGGGGTAAGAGAAAAATGTACAAGGATTTTGGGAGCATAAGTTCAAATCCCATCGTGGTGAGTGGCTACCCACACAGGTTATTAAATTTTTATGAGTTCCTGACAACCAAATATTGTAGAGTTAGATCAGTGATTTTGTGGGCTTAGTCAAGGCGTGCATAAACTGGCTAGGTGGTCATAAATTTAAAAATAGAAGAGAAATGAAAAATGAATTAAAGTTTAGAACCAAAACTGTTTTTAAACCAAGTTTGTTTGTGAAGTTGCTAGTTTGGGGTAACATCTTAAGTACACTATGATCCTGATCTTGTAGGTTCGTGTTTGTAGAGAGAAGACTTCAGGTCAGGTGTATGCCATGAAAAAGCTTAAAAAATCGGAGATGCTTCGGAGGGGCCAGGTAACTTGTGTGACCTGCCCTATTGATATCGTATTCCAGAACTCACTATTTGGCATGCTAAAGGGCACTTTTGAAATTCTCTCAGGTGGAGCATGTGAGAGCTGAAAGAAATCTGCTTGCTGAAGTTGATAGCAATTGCATCGTGAAACTCTATTGTTCTTTTCAAGATGATGAGTTTCTTTACCTTATTATGGAGTATCTACCTGGTGGAGATATGATGACTTTATTGATGAGAAAGGATACTTTGACTGAAGATGAAGCAAGGTTCTATGTTGGAGAGATAGTTTTGGCCATTGAATCTATTCATAAGCACAATTACATTCATAGGTCTGTGGATTTTTATGCACAGTGCACTAACTCTCTTAGACACTTATCATGAATTACCCTTTTCAGTTGTAGAATATAAGCTAATTCTGTTGTTCTGTATTACAGAGATATTAAGCCTGACAACTTGCTTCTTGATAAATTTGGGCACTTGAGACTCTCTGACTTTGGACTATGCAAGCCATTAGATTGCAGTACACTCCAAGAACAAGATTTTGATATGGCGAGTACCCGTAATGGGGCTGGACAGACTGATGAGCGCTCCGGAACTCCTGCACGCACTCAACAAGAGCAACTACAACATTGGCAGAAGAATCGGAGAATGCTTGTATGTTTTTTACTACCGAAGTTTGATTTCTCTTATCTGTCTTTTAGTTCACATATGTTGAAATGAACTTATGAAGGGATTTATTTCATGGGTTGACTGAATATTCAGTTGTTCACTTATTCTACTGCTGGTAGAAAATGTTTAGGAATTTTTTTTTGTTACAGAAGTTCAGTTTGAAAACGTAGCTGATTGTTTCGGTTCACAGGATTTATTCTTTTACCTTATGGTATGTTGGAATTTCAGGCTTATTCCACAGTTGGTACGCCAGATTATATTGCTCCAGAGGTTTTGTTGAAGAAAGGTTATGGAATGGAATGTGACTGGTAATTCTAAACTCTTATATGTCCATTTTGGGTGGATATAACAGTTTGATGATAATGACCTTTTAATGTCCCAACTGCAAAATAGATGAGGCTCTCTTGAGTGGCATCAATTTGTTTGCAACTGGATTTGCAGCATTGTACTTGCACAATGCTTTTTTACACTACCATAACCAAAACACTATGGAGCGAATTTTATAGATAGCCTTCTACGATTAATGATTTTTTCCAAATATTAGGTGGTCACTTGGAGCTATTATGTATGAAATGCTTGTCGGATACCCACCATTTTACTCCGATGATCCAATGTCAACGTGTCGGAAGGTAATTTTTCTCTCCAATTTTGAACTGTTACCAGCAATAATAATAACTTTAGAAGTTTATTCTTTTGAAGGAATGGGACAGAAGAGACTCTAAGGCTTCTTTCCTGTTACCTTTTTCTCCATCTCTAATTAAACCTAAACTTCCATTTATATCTTGTTAAACATTTTCTTATTTGTGCTTCTCGTTTCTAGTAATTTTGTTAGTAATATCTCTACTCTCTGAATTGGTACTTCCTAACTTATGACTGTTTTGATCTGCAATACACCTAAGTTTTTTTTTTTTTTGCAGTGCACCTAAGTTAATACACCAACCTTCCCTCAGAAATAAGACAAACTCTCCCTTATGCAATATTAGCCATCATATGCACTTTTTTGGATGTTTACAAGTGGGGGGACTGGCAAACGCCAAAATTTTTCTACATGAATGGACTGGGGGAGAGACACTTTTTTCCCATGCTGGTCTAGTCTATCAGCTTTCTTCCTGTAGGATGCCTTATTAAGATGACTTCACTTGGACCTGACTAGTGGGCAGCCGTATTTAAACTCTTTTTGCCTTATTTTATTTTATCTTTTATGCAATTGGAGGGCGATTGTGGTTGTTTAATGCTAAGAAAAAAAAACGAATTTTTATATACTCCTGTACGGTAGTCATAATGAATGTGTTGAAGGTGTCAGCATTTTAACAATTCAGTCGTAATCTCAACCAAAAAAAAAAAAGAATCAGTCGTGTCCCATAATATTGCTTGCTTGGTTGGCTTGTCAGTGTCGATGAAGTCCTATAAAACTCATCTGGTATCCTGATTCTTTTTGTCTTCCTTCTCCATGTTATAAATATATTGCAGTGTCATGTTTCTGAAAAAAAAGTTATGTTTGATAGACCTGAAGGTTGATATGACAGAGAAGAAATATAGGGTTTTTAAGTGTCTGTCTTTCCTGCCTCTGGGCTGTATAATAAAAGGCTTGGATATTAAAGGGTTTTTATTTTTACCCTTTATAGATAGTGAACTGGAGAACTCATTTGAAGTTTCCGGAGGAGGCAAAGCTATCTCCCATGGCAAAAGATGTCATCAGTAGACTACTATGCAATGTTAACCAAAGGCTAGGAACAAATGGCGCAGATGAAATTAAGGTGTTGTATGGTGTGTCCATTTCTTAGTTTCTTTTGGTTTAATTTTGAAATTTTAAAATAATCTAAAGGTTCCTGCCTGCCAATTCATCATCTAGGTTCATCCGTGGTTTGAAGGTATTGAATGGGAGAGGCTATACCAAATGGAAGCTGCATTTGTTCCCGAGGTTAAAGATGAGCTAGACACCCAAAATTTTGAGAAGTTTGAAGAGGTAGTAGCATGGTGTCCCTATATCTTTTGTTAATTTCTCAGAGCAACTTGCTTCGATCACGTGTCTCATTTACTTTTTCTTCGTGTTTCGAATCTTCAGTCTGACTCGCAAAGCTGTACTTCATCTAAATCTGGTCCATGGAGAAAGGTAACCCTCTAAGCTTGGGTTATTTGTATAGCATTTCTTATATTCACATTTGCCTTTAAGTTCACTATAGTTGAGATAATTAATGTTCATTCTGGTTAAACAACCATTGAACCCAAAAACTAATAGATTACTGAATATTTAATCATTTGTTCATATTTTGCAGGGTTGAAAGTTAACATAAGAATAGACAAGTCATTTTCTATATTAATTGGGGAGGAAATAACATTACAAGAGTTCGGACATAAGACATCTTGCTCTAGTAGTATGTCAAACCACCATTGACTCAAAAGTTTAAGCAGATAGATTACGGAACATCTATAGTGAACACTGAGCATTTTATGGTTTTGCCCTGCCCCCTCAGAACTTATGGTATTTAAAAAGTTGCGTGGGTGTAGAATTATCTTTTTCTCTATGCCCTGCATGTGTTCTGAATTCTCTTTATGCCATATTGATGCCCTTTGGAAGAGATTCTATAGCCCTTTATTGAGACGAAACATGTTTTATTGACCGTAATCAACTGTCAAAGCTCCCAAGTTTATGGAACTTGACAACATAACCATAAAACGAATTATGGTTGTCTTCCTAAGAAAACCGATACAAAGTAATCAGGGCTAGGGGTTTAAAGAACCTATTTATCTCT